TAAAAAAATTGTGTGTATTTTAAATTTCTTTCTAACCGAGTGATTCCCGACTGTGCCATTAGGTTTGGATATGATTTTTTTTTTTTTTTGGTTGAAATGGCGTTATTCTGAATTTTTTCCTGGTCGAGTGATAGTTGGATTGCATATATTGAAAACGTTGTACTCAACAATATTGATGATGATGATGATGTAATTATACGATGTTTTTAGAGTATGAAAACGCATAAGTTACAATTGCAATAGTATATTGATTTATTTTCGTTAGTGATATGTTATTTCGAAAAAGATTTCATTTTAATTTTTGACCCGCAGTACAAAATATCTAGGTTCGCCACTGAGTTGGGTGGTGGTAAGGGGAATGCTGGAGATTGTGTTTCTTTTGAGCCTAGGCGACTTAGCCTAAGGTGATAGTTGTGGTTGGGGTTGGATAGTCATGGAATCGTTAATGTCGATGAAGGAGATATAAGTGGTGAAACTGGTGATTTGAAATTTAAAATCTAAAAGGCGATGATTGTGGCGGCTATAATGGCGGTCGAAGATATGTTGACGACGACGACAATAGTGAAATGAGATTTTGTCAGTGATTGTGACATTTGGCGGCTATGTAATACGTTACAAAAAATGTTACATGTGTAATGATGAGTTTTACATAAAAAAGTAATAAAAACTTTTTAGCAATATTTTTTATAATGAAAAAAAGGTATTTTTGTGAAATAATTTGTTTTTTCAGTGTATTTAGCTCTTATATGAGCTCCATTGAAAATAGATTTTGAAAAACAAAAAGTATTTTGAAAAAGTAATTTTTTGGAGAATGTGTATTAAAAAATAAAGAAAATTTTGAATTTACGTGTAATATAATTTTATTGAAAAATATGTTATTAAAAATAAGAAAGAGAAAAAATTGATTTTTTAAAATGGGAGCCCAAAGCTAATATGTGAGACTATTCCAATTTTAAATGAACTTTTTAGTTGGAGAGCATACGCTAATTTTGTGGAAATTACAGCCAACCCTATGTTTCACGATCCAATTTCACAAATAAGATTCAAAGTTTAGTTATTCAAAAATCATCAAGTCACAGCCCCATGTCACTAGTCACAGCTCAGGTCACAAGTCAAGAGTCAAGATTCACAGCCCATATCACAAGTCGCAGCTCAAGTCACAAGTCAAGAGTCACAACCCAGGTCACAAGTCACAACCCAGATCACAAGTCACAAATCAAGTCACTGGCAAAAGCCATAAGAAAATGCAGAGAGTGATGGTCTTATTGTGAAAGAGGACAGATAATCATTTGGCCAGTAAAGTAGAGGTAGGTTTCATCAACATTTGTGAGAGGCTTATTTATGTCTAATTAATATAAACTAAATCTTCTCTAACCAAACAATCAGCAAAGATAAGGAAAGAATTTGATTGAAATAACCGACAGAGTTCCATTTCTGACACTAGTTTGGATACTTGACCACAAAACACCATCAACACCACCACAAGACCACAGAGAAATACCGACGCACCACCACAAATCACAGCAAAAAAAAATGTTGTGGCGGCGATATGTTATCGCTGGGTGACAGCCCCACGACGTCGGCAATGAGTCATCACATTCCGCGTCAGATCTCTGTATTTCTGAAAATGGACAACCGATAGCAAAGCGAAGGAGTAGGCGTTTTACGGTCAAAGCGATGTGTGATTGAGGCGTTGGAGTCCATCGGAGGAAGTCAGAGACTGAGAGATTTAAGGTGGGGGAGGAGAGAGAAGTCAGCGAAGGAGAGGAGAGAGAGAGGAATTGGATCTGATCTGATTTGATTTTTTAATATAATTATTAATATTAAAATTTTTAATTATAATCTGATTTTGGAAATATTAAACTTCCAATCTGATTTTAGAAGTTTAAAAACTTAAAGTATGGTTTCATATAATAACCACGAGAAAAATTCATTTTTTAAAATGGGAGCCCAAAGCTAATATGTCAGACTATTTAAATGAACTTTTTAGTTGGTGAGCATACGCTAATTTTTCTGTTACTAGGCTTCGTATGCCTGACAGATCTTCATGAAGGCCCATGGAACTTCCTAAGTTTCATTGTAAAAGGCCCATGTTTTTCATTACCAGTCTAGTGACCTAAAAAGTTTGAAAACTATAATTTACATAAATAGCATAACTTGTAGCACTCTTTGGAGAGTCACAATTAACCTTATTTAAATAATATTAAGAGGGTTTATGCTTGACCTCTGAGAGAAAAAAAAAAAACAAAAGGCCTTAACTCATTAGGAGACTTACACAAAAATTGAATACATAAATATATATTTCCTCTGGTTATTTATTTTAGTAATTCCCAAATCTTGAGACATTGTAAATTTAGAAAATAAAATGGAAAAGTAGTAAAGGAACAAATAAAGACTTTCCTTCTGTTAAAATCAATACGATCACTCTCAACTATCAATTATTGAAGAATTTGTTGTTGATCTTTATAAAAGTATATCGGGAGTTGAAGAAAATCGGGAACGAAATAGGCAGTGAAATCATTTCAGTTGTTACTATAAAGAAGTCACAAAAGAAAAGAAAATTGAAAAATTTATGAGATTCGAGTGTTTGAGCTTTTTTCTTTGGATTGTCATTCAATTTTTTTTTGCTACTATGGAATATAATACACATTAGAGACTTTATATGTCATTTTTACTTTTGAAATAAATATACAAGCAGAGTTGTAATGTGCATTTCTAAGATTTCTTTGTCATTTACCAATATTGTTATCACTCTCACCACTTAAGAAACCTTGTAATTCTCCCGTGTGGTTTGCGAGTTACTGCATATGGAGCGGGGTTTACCTAATACGTGCTCACAGTGGTCGGGCCTCCGCCCCTTCGGGTAGTCGGGCCTCCACTGGCGGGTAGCAGCTGCGGGTTCCTATGTCGACCAAAAAAAAACCTTGTAATTTGCTGAGACTAAGGTAGAAGAAAACAGATACAAAATGGAAGAGAGCAAAGATTCTCTCCTCTCCTCTACTCTTTCTTTCCTTTCTATCTCTGCAACTTTCTTAGTTTTTGATGAATACTTTTCTTTTCTTTAATGGATGAAAAACATACTCTTTCTCACCCTGCATATAGAGAGTGTGGTACCAGATTGGGGTCCATTTTTTATTTTTTTTGAAAGATTTAGTTAAGATAAAAATGGACGGTTAGATTTATTTAAATTATGAGGCGTAATTATTTATCAAATTTATTGGTACAAAGAACGGTCATATATATATGAAGATTACGTGTGTCCCACTCTTACTTACAATTTAATAATTTTTTGGTTCTGTCATGACGATTTCCTTAAATAATAAAGGGATAAGATTAATTAGTCAATGTGTAATTAAATATTCATTAGGAGCCAATATTATTGCCATTAGTGGGCATTCTCAATTCAACAATACAAATGATTTGTGCAGACCCAAACGTAATCACCAAAAAAAAAAAAAAAAAAAAAAAAAAAAAAAAAAAAAAAAAAAAAAAAAAAAAAAAAAAAAAAATAAAAAAAATAAATATAAAAAAAAAATAATTTATCAAAAAAAAAATATATCGTGGATGTCCGGACCAGTTTACGCGCACCTCGACTAATTCCACGGGGCCCTGAAGTTTACGGCCGTGTACTCACCTCAATGGTCCTGAGGGGACTCGAACTGGTGACAATTGGAGAGCAAACCCAAAACCTGATCAATTGAGCAACCTCTCGGGGTTTTTAGACAACAAGTTATTTATATTATTATTGAAAAAAAATAAAAAATAGGTGCACCATTACAATGACACATGGCCCGTCCCTACGTTCTATCAACTAGTCTTCCATATACAAAAATATGAGTCAGTACTTAAAATCAACATAAATTATGCTAAGTCAATTATTGGTATGTTACACACATTATTTATACAAATTTTCACCATTTCATTTCATAGAATAGCTAGTAAATGAGATTAGTTGATGGCTTTATTCGTGAATAAGGAGACGGAACGTGTAGAGCGATCCCCCTCGCGTAGGTGGGAGAGGGACGACCTTATTAAAGTATCATCTATTTTTTTCTAAGTCTACGATAAAGTCGAGTCACAAAACAACATTAAGAATTTTTTTATGCATTTAAAAAATTTAAGAAACTTAACATCAAGATCCAAGTTATAAAATATTACCAAAATTTTCAGTAGGGTGGAAAGGTTTATCCAAACGTGAAATCCCCAGCCAGCAAATGGAAATTAATCTGATTATTTAATTTTCACATATTAATTTTTATAGATGTGATAAAAGTTCAGTAAGTAGGCAGTCAATTTATGTGTAGAATTAATTAATTTTAAAATCAAATTAATCACTACCCTTTTCTTGCAATGAATCCAATGTTTGTTTAATGGCTTTTGGTTTGTAATTTTGTGAGTATTTAAATAACTTTTGGTGGTCATTAACTTTCATACGCCCGAAGAGTTGTTTTAGGCGCGAATAGGTTGAGCGTATAATACTATTTCAAGCATAATTATGCTACATGAACAGAGCCAAGGACATACTCAAAAACCGAAGGGACACGTGTACGTACATGATTGGACAGTTTAAAAAAAAATAAAAAAAATCCTCATATACACTGCCAATTCAGTCTGTTTGTACTATTTTTGTTTTTTAGTCTGGACAAGTGGCTTTATTCTTTCAAGTAATCTCAGAAGAAATTAAATAAAAAATACGGTATAGTCTATACATTTATGGCTCGTTTAACTGCGTCAATCATGTTTATCAAATATTTTATTATTGCTCATCTCTTGCCATTTGCATTTAAGAAATCCATTCAAGCATTCCCTATTTGTCAACTCTTTCATCTTTTTAAAAACCCCAACCCTTACATTTTCTTCCCTATTTGCTCAAGCGATACCACCCCCCATCTCGATCTATCGAATCGAAAAAGGTTATCTCATTTATTCACGTCACACCACTTTTTCCCTCGATAGCGAGCCGTGCCAAACTGCCAATTCTAAACCTATCCACCAAGAAAATGAATACTACAATGGAAGCAAGTGCTGGCCCTGAGAATGAAACAGGCCAAACAGTCGGTGGTTTGGGGTACGCCCTCGGGCTCTCCGTCGGGATCCTCGTAATATTTGTGATCACTACATATGCCTCCTACAAGTGCACCCGTAGACAAGGCGGTGCTAACCTCAACAACCACCACTTGTCTACCCAGGGAAGCTCTACCGAGGACGACAACTGGTGGCTTCGACGAGGCCTCGATCAAACCACCATCTCTTCCTACCCACAATTCATATACTCCCAACTCAAACTCCATGAATGTGAATCCACATCTTCTGCTTGCTCCATTTGCTTGGCTGATTATAAAGACACAGATTTGATAAGGCTGCTGCCTGATTGTGGCCACTTCTTTCACTTCAAATGTATTGATCCTTGGCTAAAGGTAAATTCCACCTGTCCAATTTGTAGAAACTCACCATTACCAACTCCTCTTGTAGAGGTAATGGCAATTTCAACACCTACTCAATTATAAGGTAATAATTAAACTCACTGTATTATCTTTTCATACGATTCATACACTTTTTTAAAAATAATAATAATAATTTTTTGTCTTCATTTTAATCAAACTGTTCATATTTTATTGATTCAGAGATGATTGAATTATTTCAATTTTGCAGTTGTTTGCATAATGGAATTTAAAGAAATTGATACATAAATTGTTTTAGTAGATATTTTCTTCTCTCAATGATTTACTTTCTTCTATAGTTATTGTAAATATATGGATACAGTTTTCCGAATAAATAATTTTGAACTAAAAATATAATTTCTAAAATTAGTTTAGATTTAGCAACCAAAAAATCCTCTAACCAACCAAAGAACATTAAGAATGACTTAAGGATTGTTATCTTCGTGTTTCAGTTTCTAGTTTTGAGTTTTGAATTCATTTTGGTTTAGTATTTTTAGTGTCAATTTTGAGATTTCTGAAAACACATTCTTTTTGTCATTTTGAAAAATTGTTTTTTTTTTTTTTTAAAATGTAGTTTTGAGTTGATTTTAATTGAAAATAGCCAAAACGACTTTTTTTTGCGTTTTCCATTTTCTTTTTAAATTTAAAATTCCTTGTTGGAAATTCGTTTTTGAAAATAGATATGTAAACGTGTTTTCAGTGTTTTCGAAAATTGAAAACTGAACATGACCTGAAAACAACAAAGAAAACATACCCTAAGATTTTTGTTGTTGCAGTTTGAAGTAAATTCACAACAAAGTTCAGATTCTTTAATAAATGTTGATATGAATGTTTAATACATTTGATTTGAGGAATAGAAACAGCTGTCGAGTCCATTATTTCAAGAAGACATGGCAGGGCATGAAGAAAAATCCAGCTTTTGCAAAATAAGTTGGACAAGTGATAATTTCAAGCTACGAATTGGAGACAAACTTTTCGTGTTAAAAGGTTTAATTCAAACGATACTTATGTAAGCATGTCTTTTTTAAAACTCATTTCGTAGTAAATTAATGTGATGTAACGTAAGTATTAAAAAAGAAAAGAAATAGACCCTCAAATTAATTAAAATAAGAAAGGATACAAGCCTTGCTAAGCAAAAATGATCAGCTAGGGCACGGAGAACTCAGGTTGGGGTCAAATAAGATAGACCAACAAACTCGTTCGATTTCAGATTGGTGAGTCATGTTTAGTATTTTTTTCCCTATTTTTAATATTTATGACGTTGTTCGATGTAAATGTGTCATGTTAATGCTGATGTGTTCTTATCGATGATGTTTATACAATTAGATTTCACATTAGTATTTTTATTTATCAAACTAACAAAAATCGACAAAATGATTCGATTGTAATAAATTTTATGCTCGGACCATCTCCAATGCAATCATAAATTGTTTAAAAAATTATGCGACATAAGTAAAGATAGGCGATGCTTAAATTTTTTGTCTTCAATGCCATGTGAAGTGACGGAAAAAATAGACGATATTTAAATGTAAAAGCTCTATTAAGCGGAATGATCAACAAAATTTAATCTCTCTCTCTCTCTCTCTCTCTCTCTCTCTAAATAAATTTGAATTATGGATGAAAATTTTGAACTTCACAATTATTCATTAGACATCAACGTCGATCGAAATCTTTCTATTTGCATGCTTTTTTTTTTATTATTGTAATCCATAAAATGCATTGGAAGGAGATGCTCTTAGGGGCCCAATTGTAATAAAGTTTGATCCAATGACTACGAAATTAATTAGTATTTCAGTAGGAGTTCGACTATGAGCAATGATTTTTACCCTGACATTGTCACAAAACCTTAAAAGAACTTAACATGATATTGAAACTAAAACCTCAAAACTAATACACTATATGAACTGTAAGATTAAAAAAGAAGTTAAAGTTTTGTTTATTATGAAATATAAATTCTAGGGTTTCTCTTCAACAGTTACACTAAACTTTAGGCCTAATGCACAGTAATTTGAGACATTGCATATGAAATAGAACACCCCTTTCTGCATAAGAGGAACAGTTGCTGGGCCCTCCATGAATGCCTTATAGGGTTGATTTGCAGTGCAACTCTCCCATTCTCCTCTCGAAACTTCAATCACATTGTAAAATGGTGAATCAAAGTCGAAATCTGCATTAGATTTTAGTCCTCTTTAGAAAAAAAAATGGTCGTTTCTGAACCAAGTTTGGATAATGGATAACTCTGCTGACAATTTTCATAGTCGACCCGAGTAAAGAAAGAACGTTACAATCACTAATTCAATCGAATTTCAATCACTTTTGTGTAAGATTGCAAAGAAAAATTAAATACAAGAAATGAGAAGATATCTCAAAAGGCAAAAGTACAGTTTGAAGCAACAAAAAGAAGAGAAATGAGTACTTACAGAGAGCATCTCCAGTCCGAAAAGTGTAAGAAGAAGACCAGTTGCTGTAAAAGTTATTTGTGAGAGGAATGGACCAAATTGAATCTCCAACAATATATTGCAAACAAAATGAAGTGCCCAGTAACATGAGTACTGCAAATAGAAATACTGGGACTGTGATTATCCCATTTTGCATCGCCATTTGAGTGTGTGTGAGACAGACTATGAAGCAGTTATCGTATCGTTTTGGGAAGGAACATGAAAATGTTGGGCGTAACCGTTTATCAATCTAATCCTATCCAATCTAGGGGTGTAACACCTCTCACTTTGTGTTCAATAAAAATTTCTTTATGATTATATTCAATTTAGATTTTTAAAGATTTTTATGAATTTAAAAGGTGCGTATTCAATCGAAACATTTTTAGAGTCTCGGAATATCTAATATAAACTCTTTGAGAAAAGATCTAACCCGAAATCGACCTGTCTTTTTTATTTTATTTCATTTTCTTCTTTTGCTTCTTCTGAATTTCGAATTTGATCATCAAAAAAAGTCTCCCATTTTAGGGGCAACAAAGGATGTTTTCTTGTGGGTAGAGAAGTTGCTGAGAGAGTAAAGATTTGGGGGTTCCCTTAGGAATATATTAAAATAAAAAAATTGTGAAAAAAAGAAGTAGAAGAAGAGGAGGAAGAACGTCGTAAATTATTCTTTGTAGAATGACATGAAAAATGTAGAAATCTTGTTCTATATTTCTCCTCCTCCTCCTCCTCTAGGATCGGTTTGGTTTGTATTTCAATTTTTAGTTTTGAGTTCATTTTCAATTTTCTGTTTTGATGGTCTATTTTAAATTGCTAAAAACGCGTTTGATTTGTCATCTTGAAAAATTATTTCTCAAAACAGAAAATTAAAATACATATTTGGTTTGAAATTTTGTATGACATTTTATTTAATGAGATTTGATTATTCAGTAAAAATAGAACAATTTTATGTTAATATATTTTCAAATAATTTAGACATTTTAAAGTTGGTGCGTATTACAATATTTTTTTCTCACTACAAAAGTAAAATAAAACAAATAATAAATTGAGTTTAAAATATAGGAAATTAAAAAAAATAATGACGTGGATTAAGAATATTTTTATATATGTTCATTTAAATTTTTTTTTATGTAATAATCATTAAGAGCTTGAATTATTTTATTTTTTATTTTTCTAGAATTTTTTATAATATTTTTTTTATAATTTTTATTTTTTGTTGTTTTAGAATTTATTTATCAATTTTTTTATTTTTAAAACTTTTAGATATAATTTTATTTAAATGCTTGTTTTTCCCTGTTTTGAGTATTTTCATAATTTTCATTGAAAACACGAAACGCTGTGAAATGTCGAAAAGTTGGAGATCATACAAACTTGAAAATGTAGAATTTTGAATTGGGAAAAATTCATTTTTCCTACTTTATCTTTACCCTATTTCAAAAATAACAAAACAACTTTCACATTTCAAAAATCAGATATCTTAACCTATACATACACATATATATAAATATTTAT